GGTCAGCTGTATCCAGCCCACATTCCAGCCAAGTCCCTCCACCTCATCTTCTGAGCAAGCTGGCTCTGAGATGTCCAGCCCAGAGGTTCCTGACCACAGAACACATGCTGCTTGTCAAAAACAAACCACTTGAAAGCAGTGTGCCTGTGCCCCCAGCCTGTGCCAGCCTGCTGCCTTCTCCTCCGAGGAAGCAGGGAAAAGCGGTTGGGGCAGAATGTGTCAAAAAGCTCGGCGGTGCCTGCTGGGCACGCACGCTGCCTGGTGCTCATCCCATGTCCACCTGAGAACAGACGGCACCTGCGTGACCCCGGTACCCGGCAGGAGAGGCTGTTTCCGCAGCGGTGCCTACCACAGTCTCTGCTGGTAGCGGTGGTAGCTGTGCAGGTGAAGTTGGTGAGCAGCTGGGCAAGCCAGGCGTAGGAACATCGGTGAAAGTTGAGCTGTTCGAGTCGGGGAGTTAAAGCCTGTTGTGTTAGACAGAAACTTCTCCTCCCAGTACTTGGCGTGCTCTCTGTGGTGGCAAGGCTTTTCCAGATGGGGCTACAAACCTTCCCATAGCAAACCTCTGTTTATCTGCCTGGCAAGCCGCCCCTCTGCTTTGTCTGGGGAGCTGCTGCATCGCTGAGCCGGGCTGGCTTTTCCACCCTGGAGCTCTTACATCACAGCCCAAAGTGTGAACAGAGGCTGCAGCCTCCCTCTCAAATCAGCCCCCGGTGCCTCCACACCTCGCTGTTACTCAGCACTTTTCACTGACAGGGAATTAAGTAGGATTTCTAGGTCATTGTGGGCCTGTCAGGAGGAATCGTCTCCTGTAGACCTCATTATCAAGGCTCTTTCTGCAATGCCAGACTTCAGAACAATTGCAGCCTGGTTCCCTAAACACTGACTAATGAGACAGAGCTGTTAGCAGCAGTTTGCTAAATAAAGGCTGTTTCTGCCTGACACAGAATAAAGCCAGACAGGATTTTCTTAGCTGCCTCTCACACGGAAGGTATTTCAAAGGACCCTTATTAAAATAATGAGCTAGATGTTGCTCTTGCGGTGGCTGCATAGGGTCAGTGCTTGATGCTAGTGCCAGGTGCTTCCCCAAAGCAGTGACTTCAAGTAACTTGGGCTCAAGTGACCCAAAAACCTGTCCAGCTCCCTTGGTTTCAAGGTATCTTGAGCATTTACCTGAGCTCCTGTGATGTTGTCCTGCTCTGGCAGTGACGTGCTGCCTCATGGCGGGCAAGATGCTTGTAGCTCTCTGTGTCCTCCATTTCCTCCGGTGCCACAGGAATATATTCTTGGATCTCTGGGTCACAGGGAAGCTTGCTCAGCATTCATGTGCCTGGCTTTGGAAAAGTAAGGGATCCAGCATCTGTGCAGGTGGGATGAGTGGGAGTGCTGAGAGGACTGCTCATATCCCTGCTTTTGAAAGGAGGTGGAGGTTTGCAGATTGCCAAGAGGAGATAGGTGGGATTAATGCTCCTACCTGGATGCAGAATAGAAAGGACGTAGCCCCCACCTGAGTAGTCTGAGGCCAGGTAACTTCTGTTGATATTCTGTAATGAGACTTTTTCATCCTACCTCGCTTCCTCTTGTCAGAAGGGCCTGGATTAAAGATGAACTCTTGAGTGTGATGGGATGGGTCTGACTGCCTCTGGCTGGAGCAGGCACAGGATTATTACTTGGCCAGTTTGCAGGTTTGTTTGAAGTGGTGCTTTGATGTGGCAATGGGAGTCCATGGAAGGTAAACGGTGTCTAGACAGGTTTTTCTCACTCTCTGTTGTTGTCTCTGAAGCAGCAGAAACGGTGCCAAACAGGCTGAACGGCTCCAGGATGCGAGAAGCAGAGCTATTTCTAGAAAGATGGAACAATGGTTCTTCAGGAGAATCCAAGCCAGCTCTCATGGAACCCTTGTCGAACCTCCTGCAGGTGGGATTGCTCCTCTCTGTGCCCTGGGCAGTTAACTGCAGGTAGATGCTGCTCCGAGTGAGCTCGGAGAAGTCCAAGAGGCAGCCAGTGTGTTTCCAGGTGAGCTGGCATGGCAGAGAGGTACAGGAGAGGTCCATGAACTGGTGCTCTGGCCAGCAGGGTTGGGAATCCAGGATGACAGTCAATTCTGGCAGCATTCAGAGGTGGATCAGGTTGGCTCCAGCAGCAGAGTGCCCAGAAGAGACTTGCTCCGTTTGGCTAGCTGGACACTGCCAGGGTTTGCCCAGCAGCGCTGGCCTGCATGCCCAGTAACAACTGTAGCCAGTGGTTCAGCTACACTGGGAGGGAAAGAAACGGCAGGCCGTGATCTAGAGAGACTTGTCGCTGGCTGGCAAGCGCTGCGCTCAGCCTGTCTTGGCTCTGATATGCCATCTCCCCCAGGCTGTTTGGGAGGGGAAGTGGAGACTGCATTCAAACGCCTATTGTCTGTCCTTCAGCTGGGAGCAGAGCCAGGAGAGAGAGCGGCTCTGGCAGCATCTGATACAGGGGGCAGATGTTAGGGGAAACATACTCATCCGTAAAACGCTGTCGCTGGGATTTTCAAAGGAGCCTCGAAGGTTAAGTGCCCATGTGTTGGAACGTGTACATGAAGGTCGAGAGAGAAATCTGGGGCTCCGGGGATTCCTTCTGGGCTTGGGGAAGCTTTTCAAAGGCAGCTCTTGCCACTGGGACAAACCTTTGTGCAGCATCTGTGGGTTGTCCAGGTGACTGCTGTTCTCGGCCGCATTTGGTTCAGCGTAGCTGGGGAGAAGGGCAAAGCCACGCGGTGCCCGCTTTAATCTCTCGTGGGGGCCTGAGTTCAGTCTGGCTCCTCTCTCCTGCAGCCAGCTGCCAACTTCGGCAAGCAGGAGCTGAAAGCGGAGGGTTTCCCGACCCTGCCCGTCCTCTCCCCTCACCACTGCCAGAGCAGGGCTTGGCCACAGGTTTCAAGCAGAGCTGGAAACTTGGCACCGAGGCGAGGAGCAGAAGAGAGCCCGGCTTGCTATTCTGTGTCTGGTTTGGCTTTTGTACTGCTGTGGGGAGGACAAATATGCTCCCAATCTGTTTGCCTCACTGACGTGACTCCAAGACACACAGGCAACAGATAGGCTGACCAAGAAGGGGCCATTGTTAGAGGGACCTTCCCGACTGTGGCTCTGCTGGAGCCAACCCGGCTGCAGCCTCACCCGCGCTTCGTTCACAGGGCCCAGAGTGCTCAACCCTCTTGGGTCCCGCAGCTTTAACTGCCCGTTAGCACAGGGCTTCGTTCCTGTTTCGCTCCATTTCTTCGTCCACGTGCCCTCAGCTGGCCTTTTGGTTTATGTGCCCATCCCTGCCAGGCAGGTATGAAATCAGACTGCAGATAAAAGAAGTTTTGAGCATTGCTTCTCTGTGACCCACCCCAGACGTTCACAGACACGTTGCTGATTGCACGCAGGCGGGCAGCCCGAGCGGGCAGAGCGCTTGCTCTGCGCAGAGGCTGAGCGAGAAGGAGCAGGGAAAGGGTGTGATGGACTGATGGGCAGATTAGAATTTTAGCTAAGGAGGAATAAGGCCCCCAAGAAAATCAGAGAAGAGGAAGGGAGTTACCTCATCTGTTTCCAGCAGCCAAGGCAGGGTTGTCCTCTGAGAGGTATTTCCTTGAGCACTATCCAGTCCGATTTTAGTCGTAACTTTTATGAACAATAAAGGCTTCCACGGTTTCCCTAGAAGGAACTGGAATGAATCCAAATAGATTTTAGTGCTGAGAAGCAGATCCTGTTATTAATGTCAGCCTAATCATTTCTTTCTATCTCCTTCCCACCTTCTTTGCCATTCATACTCCTGAGAAGCCTGCAGGTGGTTATCAAGTCCAGTCCACCCTCTTCTTTAGCTGCTTCTGAAATTGCAGACCGGATTGCAGCCGGCTTTTAGGGTCTGTGAGAGCATTTAATATGCCTGCACCAGGCTGGAGGGGGGATTGTCCCCCCAGACCTCAGGGCAGACCTGGCAGCGCGACATGTAAACCCCAAAGCCGGCAGGACAGTGACACAGAGCTGAGCTGAACTGGGAACCAGCACATGCTGCTGAGCCCTCTGGGGAAAGGGCCTCTGACCAGGACTCAACTGGGAGCATTCGGCTGAGAAAATTCTCTGCTAAAAATAGCAGCAGGAGATGTTTAAGGAGAAAAACAAGTCAGGGTCTGGGAGAAGTTAGTTCCCAGATATGTGGCTAAATCAGCTCCCTCGGGACAAGTAATCTTTTAACTCCTCCCTGCCAAGGCTCGTTTCTGCTCTATTCAACAAGCTTGCCTTGGTCAGGAATCTGGGTTGGGACAAGCCAGAATGGCTTTCGTCCTCACTCTCTGCTCTGACGTGGCATTACTTTCCTCCCTTTTCCCCTGCTCATTTATGCCAGCATCTTCCTAATAGTGCTCTGTGTCAAGTTTTTCATCTTTTATCTGTCTGTGACTTCATTTGGGCTCTCTTTAATTCCCGATGTACTTCCTGAGAAAATAATCTCTATTGAACCCCGCAGCGCAGCCGCCCCTGCAGGTTTGCAGCCTGCGCTCAGGCTGAAGTTAACAAGGTAAGTTTTGAGACCTGTTTGCGTGGTTCGGGGCTGCCCTTAGAACAATATTCCCCCAACTCACATGTCTTCAGGCCTGCACGTGGTGCCTCTTCCCCTCCTCGATGCGCATCCTTTGTTCTGACAGATTCACTGCAAAGCTTCAAAGCTGCCTCGGAGAGGATGGCCCCACCTCTCCAGCGCGGAATGACGGCAGTAGTTCCACAGGCTCTTGGTCGCACGCTCATAGGCAGATGTGAACGTTCCCTCGGTGCCTGCAGTCAAGTCTCTCGCAGCGTTCATTTGTACGTGTTTTGTGCAACGCATTAGCGAGACAATTGCGTTTTATACCCAAGGCTAGAATTATACACACCAAAAAGACAAAAATTATACCGTAAAACTGGAGAAAATGTTCTTAAAAAGGGAGCTGTTTTCAGTCTTGTCATAAATGCTATCTCTGTGTGCTTGCTCACGCCCTCTCCTGTTCCCTTCTCCAGCCTACTCTCGGCTCTTGGCTCTGATGACTGCTGCTGTCTTCTCAACTCCCATTTTCCACAGGAAGATGAACATGGTTGGTCTCCGATAAGCAGAACTTCAGATCGTGGTTTTGTTGGTCAAGCTATAGGCTGGAGGAGAACGGGGGATCAAGAGATTAGAGTCACAGACAGAGGGATAGAGGATTACAGGCTAAAACCCCGTGAGTCTCTGTATTGATGGTTGGGACACAGCCAGACACTAAAGAGTATTGCAAAGCCTGGTGCTGATAGCATATCCGCTTATTTCCTGTCTTTGCATTTCAGGCAGCTTTTGATATATGTGTCCTCATCAAAAGCCAGGGTCAGGCAGGTACCGAGCATCCGAGCTCCCGTTGAAGTCAAATACCTGCTGAGATCAAGTCTGTGCCTTGGCTGGCGCTCAGCCTGGAAAACGTCACTTTGGCTTATGAGATTCTCAGCAATCCTTGAGTCAAATTCCCACACGAGACAAAAATAAAGGAACTTGCCCCTTTTCCAGTTACAGTTCATTCCGTCTCCCCAATCCTGGCCATAGATCCCTGCCATGTCTCACTGACCTGACTGCCCCGGAGACTTCCCTTAGCATCTGCCTGCTGCAACAAGAGCCTTGCGGGGAGGAAGGGAGAGGATGGGAGGGAAGACCATTGCCCCCGGCTCTTATCACAGTTATCTGCTGGTTCCCTCCCACTTCGCACTAATTCGGTATCAGCATCTGCCACTTTTTGGAGGAAAGGGACCTGCTGAAGTGAGAAATAACGTGGGACGTGCCTGCATGGCAATTCTTGGGGCTGGCGAGGGAAACAATGGAAGGCAAGTGGGAATAGGCAGGAAGGGTTGGTTTCAAATCTGCCTTGCGCAGATATTCCCGCTTCTCTTCGCCGCTCACCGTTTCTGTTCCTGGCCTTTGCTTTGGCTTTTGTAAGGCACTCGCTCTCATCCGGCAAACAGATCACAGAGTGCTGTATCCTCTGCCAGCTGAGATAGCATGTTCCTTACTCTTCTGTGACTTTCTGTCCCTCAGTTTTTTCCTCCAGTGAACTGGAACCGTACATCCATACTGAACTGCAGGGGACACTGAATGTGAAGGGACTGAAGCTTCTGTACAACCCTTTAACAGACAAAAATGATGGTGGGGAATCACTGCAGTGCGAGAACCTCAGCAGACATCCAGAGGCCCGGCCAGCTATATTCCTTGGCATTTTCATGCTCTAAAGCAGAGGCGGCGCTGAGCTCACCTCCGGAGATTTCCTCACGCCCTGTTTTTTGTGAACGCACTAATTTTCACGGTCTGTATTGGCTGGGAGCCACACCAGTTTGAAGATGTAATTATGCTGTCCATTCATTAATGAAAATGGCAAGAACGGCGCTCGGTACAACGTGCCTGTTTCGATCCGTTCCTAGCCAAGTGATCTGTAATCGTTTCCTTGGTGCCTTACTTCTCGTCTGGCTTTTGCCAAAGACTTGGTGCAGATGTAATTAGAAGCTCTCCTGACTGATGGCCTTCCCTCAGAGCCACACTGCAAGGCCACCTGCCCCTGTTTTTTCCTTCTGGAGAGTCAGCTCAACATGGCAAGCCCAAAGCATCTGCGTAAGGGGCTTGACCTCGGAGCCAGCAGCAAGGCAAAGTAAACGTTCTGGGCAGGACTTAATCCCCTGGTTAGTGGTGCATAACGCAACACAAAAGCTTTGTGCCCTCTTCCCTGTTGCTTACCCAAGGAAAATGAGACTTGCCTCATGTTTCTGTCTTGGGAAGGGAGAAGCAGTTCAGGAATGCGAGGGTTGGTACTAACAGCCTCTTCTGTGCACAGCTTTCCTATTCATGTTTCTCTTGTCTCTCCATTATCCTTCATATCGGATTTTGAGGGGCAGATTCAAGCTCTTCCTGTCTTTTCTTTGAGCTGGAGATGGCCTGAAATATATTACAGAAAGAGATGCTATCTGACATGCTGGAAACTCTCTAGCCCTTGCTGCTTCCATCTTAATCTCTTTTAAGTATTAGGTATTAGTCATCCACCCAAGCATTGCTTCCTTCCCGACTTGCACGTACATTCAGTCCTTTCCAGAAACTGGGCTATAGGCTTGGGAAAATGAGAGAGCTAAGATCAGATCGTGCAGAGATTAAGGTGTTGGGCAAGGCACGTACAGCCAAAGGGTTAAATGCCCACCTTCTCCTTGATGTCACCAGCATTTAGGTACGTTGGCGAAGCTGGCCCTTGGTTTTGTGAGCCATGTCTGTTCTGACAGGTGAAAAGCTGTTTCAATAAAATGGGCTGGGTGTGCTAGGCTCCTCAGCCTGGGAGCTGTCTCCCCAGTTTGCCAGCCATCAGCTCAGCTCTGTCTTCCTCCTAAATCCTCTCGGCTTCCTTAGGGAGAGCAGAGCATAAGAACTTGCAAGTGGACTACGTCCAAGCTCAACATGTCCAGCCAAGAGCTCAGACTTAGGCGAAGACCGTAAGTATGCTTGAATTCCTCCTGTTCAGACATGGAGCATGGCTCATGATGCCTCCTCCTAGCACTAAGGAGTCACAAACCGGCTGGCGTCAAAATCTGACCTTGGGAATAGGCTGTCTCATTTTTGTGCAGCTATGCAGGGCCTTAATATCTTATCTCTAACCACACGGCAATGCCATGAGCAAAAAGGCAACCAAAGATTGTGAAACTCTTACCTCCAGAAGCCCTTGTCAGATGAATTTGAGGCGGTGCGTCTGCAGCTGCATCCCAACGTGACGAAACCAAACTTTGGGAGGCCGTCAGAAGGCACGGTGCGGTCTTTACCAGGCTACGCCTACGCTCCCCTGCCTGCATGGGAGAGAGGAGGACGTTTGTCTGCATAAGGAGGCTGCTTTGCACAGAAGCTTTTGTCTTAAGAGGACTCCATATATCCTTGATAGCAACCTCTTTCACTTCTTAGTGTGGGTGTGTAGGCAGTGTGTATACCAATGGGTTTGCTGTCTGATTAGGAGGTAGAACAGTAAATCCTCCTGTCCAAAAGGGGAAAAGGAAAAGAAAAAAAAAAAAAAGAACAAGAAAAAAGGAGAAAGGACTGTGTGCATGGCCTGCATGTTAATGGGCCTTCTCTGCAGCAAAACAGTCATGTCTCTAAGGTACCAGTTTAAATCAGGAGATTTAAACTGGTTAAATCAGGAGACTTAAACCAGTTTAGATTTCATTACAGAACCATACGTACTCTAGTCGCACACAGGCATCTCCTTGCCTTCCCCAGTGGTGAGCAGGAAGAGAATGAATTAAAAGCAAAATCCAAAATTCTTACGTCTTTACTTGAAGGCAGATACTCAATGGCTTCCACACAGCTTTGTCCTGTGTGGTCCTGGTCCTGCTGAGAGCATCAGAGACTCCCTCATTATCAGCATTTCAGAAGAAACGAGTGCCATCAGCCAGCTACCTCAGAGAGGAGAGAAGCAAAAGCCAGAACCATGTGGGATGCCAAACACTGCTCTGTCATGTTGCATTTGCCTTCTCTAGGTTAATTACGCTTCGTGTTCCCTACCCCGGCGGGCACATCTTCTCTGTTTGTAGGTGTCTATCAGAGAGTTGGCACCCTTTTAACTGAGCAGTACAAGCCACGCATCTAAAATAAGTCGTGCTGTTTTATGATAGCTGGTAAAAATAAAGCCTTACTAGCACAAGCAGCTATAACAGCACAGAGGATTTACGACTGAGTGGGTTTTTTCCAGGGTGGGCTGGTCACAGTCTGGTGATGGCCTTTTTATAACCGTTATCAGCTCCCACACAGACCAGGTCCATCTGTTACTTAATTCGAACAGAGACACTCCTAAGCTTTTGTTCGCTAATCTCTCGACGCACATCTACATTGTTCTCTAGCAGGGTAGCCCACTCATGAGTTGGGGAGGTGCCATGGAAAACTGGAAGAAAAGAAAGGCTCGGGTCACTTGACCAGCATGGTCCGCCTGCCTGCTCCTTTCTAGCAGCCTGAAGGGGCTTTTGCCCTGCAACTTGGGTGCCAGAGCAAACATACAGCCAGCCTCTTGGACTGGAGGCAAGGACTGAAAGTTAAGACTGAGTGCTATGAAACTTTTATGACCCTTAAGCCAAAAAACGCCTGGGGTTAGGCATTTTTTGTCATCCCATTCCCATGCCATGCTGCTTTGTCTATCCTACACCACCACCACTGGCTCAGGTTGCACTGTGGAGTGGCAGTGCGATGCACTGGGGATAGAGAGGAGGGAGGATAAAGAGCCTGAGAGACAAAAGGATGGATATTTTGAGGTACAGATGGTCAGAGGTTTCTGGAAATCTGGGCTTATGGTCGGTTCCTCAAAACAGGCAGAGGGCAGAAACCTGGCTTCCCTCTTCCTTGTCTTATCCAGTTGGGCACTGCGTGGCTTCCTCTGCTCTTTGCTTGGAGGTTTCTCACACATATAAGTCTGCTTCCTCCCTACCACCACACCCCCCCCCACACTTCTAAGGCAGGGACAGTCCTGGGGTCAGCCCTTAGCAACAGCACTCATCTCCTTCCTGCTGCTCCCGTCGTCTCGGCTGCACTTATCCTCGTCACCGTTTCTCTGAGCTCACAGGACTGAGGATGGATGCTCCGGGGGGCATCTCCAAACTGGCAGTTGTAAATGTGCTGACACGCAGAGGGTTCGGTGTTTCTAACACCTAACAATATATCACTCTCTCGCGCTCGGTAGCACTCCTGCTGCACAGAGTCACCATCCAGAAAGCGAAGACGCTCAACAGGGCGTGTGTTTTAGAGCAGCGTTCCCACACGGCTTAGATGCGTTTTGAATTGCAAATCAAGGAACGGCTTAGCCATGATGGACACCTCAAGCAAGGCGTATTTTTGTTGCTTTAGTGGGCAGGTGTTTAAATACAGCTGCATGTTTTTGTACTGCCTGTGCCTGACAGTGCATTAACTAAAATTACTGTATCGGATAACTGCAATATCGGCAAAGAAGCATTGAACGATACTGCAGCACAGACTGTCGGCAGCAACTTATTTGAACTGCTTCCTCATAACCTTTTTTTTACCTTGCCTATGATACTTTAGGAATACCTCACTTCCTCTTCAAATTTCTGCCTAGGGTTTTTAAAGAGAGAAGAGATGGGATGGAAGGAGATGGAAGGTCAGGTCTGGTACAGAGGGAGGACATTTAACACAGAATAGCTGTCTATAAAGCTGCTAGGTTTTTTCCTGAGACTATAGTTTGAGCGTAGCATTTTAAAATAATTCAGATAACATGAGTCACAGTAACAAGCATGGGCTGGATCTCTTTAGCTGAGAGAAGTGCCATAAGAATATGCTATAGACTTCAGTGCCTTGTCCTGGATTCTATTTTGGAGAACTGATGGCATTTGGGATTCAACCATATGCCTGGCTCAGCCTGTAGCACATACAGATCTGGTAGGTATTCGGAGATGTAGCACATACAGATCTGGTAGGTGCGTCTGTCGTGGCATGCGTGTGCTCTGGAGAGGAATGCATGTCTGTGCCCGGCTGTTCTCCAGCTCCCGGGTGCTGAGGCCTTTGAAGTGGGATTTACATAACACAAAACCTTTGCTGCTTATTTGCACTGGGCAGAAAGAGGCCTAAAGGAACATCTTTGGAATACTCTTATTAAAAGGTGGCAGCCACCACTAACAACGATGTAACACGCAAACCAAAAGCAGCTCCTAAGTGTGGTCACCAAAGAGACGCTTGCCGAGAGCCCTGTACGATGTGCCATGGCCCTGAGTGCTGGCAGCTGGGAACCACTGCCTCGGTGCCCATTCCTCCGGCCCCAGGGATACCCCAAAGTAACGCTGACAAGAGCTGGGAAGGTGTTCTGCTCCTGCTCTGCCCTCTGTGTGGTCACTGGAGGGTTTTGTTTCAGTTTGCTCCCTGCACAGCTGTGGCCTCCTTGTAATGAGGAACATGCCACTTGCAGCGTTCTTTTGTCCCGCGTAGAAGAATAAATCTGTCTTAGCAGTGATTTAAGCAGCCACATTGATCTCTGCCCACAGTCAACACACGTGGTAATGTCAGAACCTTTCACACAGCCTCCAAGGGCTCGGCTTCTGTCTAAAATTTGTTGACATCCTGCTCTGTGCCTGAGGGATAGACCTAAACCTCTTGTGTTTAGTGGGTGGGAAAAAGCCTGCTGCGAACAATTTCCAAGAACCAAGATGAGGCCAGAGTTTGATGGAGTCCAACTGTCTTGGAGTGAATGCTTCTAGAGCAGAACTCCTTCAGAGGAACCACACTGCTATTACTATCCCACCTTCAATTGAACTTAAACTGTCGATGTTCTTCAGTAGGACCGTTTCCACACTATCTACTTGATGGGACACAATTCTTCCGAAAAAATCTTGTGTAAGCAAGAACGTATAACAAAAACCAAACTGGCACATCAAGTTTCCTCTAAGGAATGAGGAACCCTTTCCCTCCTGACCTTTCTTTAGCTTTTCCAAAGGGAATATTTATAGGATAGTACAGACCAGATAGATGCTGGGCGAGCTGCCTTCTGTTGCTCTTCAGGCGCAGTGCAACTCTTCGTGGTCGTCTGCAACTTGAGGTCTTGAGAGAGAAGTATTACTTGTAAAGCATCTCTGTAACATAGCTCCTTGATGGAGGGTGCTGTCTCTAAAAAAAAAGCCAGAAGCTTCAACTTTCCCCCTTTTGAAAACCTGAGGTAAAGGTGTTATCAGAACCACCTGTCCCAGGCAGGAAGCCAACCAGGATCTCCCCAGTTAAGCTCTCTCGGTTTCAGAAGCAGCAAAAAGCAATCAAATGCTTTGTTTGCGTGACGTGCCCTAAACTAGTGTTGAAAATGTGTCCAAAAATTTCAAACTTATTTTCCTAAGGTTGTTTCTTGTCTTCTGGTGACTAGGTAATGCTCAGGGGTTTTGCTGGGATCAGCGAAATCTGTTTATGCGCACGAGGGAGCAAAGCAAGGATCACAACCCAGACAGAACACCTGAGAGGATCAAAGCATGAAGAAAGAGAAAGGAGCAAGTCAGGGTCTTGTGGCATAATTACCTTTTCTGAAGGAGTAGGTCTGGAAGCACCAGGCCTGATGAAAATGGACTCTGCTTTATAGCAGACTTGGAACAAGTTACTCGATCACCTCCTGAATGAAACAAAGCAAGGTGGGAGCCCCTGCTTTGACCTGCTGAGAACCAGCTCTGAAAATGGCATTTTCCTGGCTCTCCCAAGGAAAGCCTGAGCAAACTGAAAGCAAAGAGCTCGCTGCGCTGCCCTCTTACTCATTTCAGCTCTGATACGCAAGGCTTCTCCCAGACACCTACTCCGTGGTCCAGAGCACTGTCATCTTAGTTCAGTATTAGATTTCTCCTAAATGCTGCATGAATGTCTCAAACGCACAAGGGAGAGGGGTAGAAAGGTCCTGCTAAGAGCAGGCTTAAGAGTTGGCTGGGCTGACTATTAGTTTTGCATCAGCCAGTGGCTTTTATGTGAGTAACAATTGTTTTGTACACACAGGCAGCCTCTAAACCTTGCCAAACTCCGTCTCTCCCCGGTGGTCCTGGGGGTATAAGCACAAGAGCCAAGGCAGGGAGGAGAGCGTCGGCATTTAACAAACAATGGGAGATAAGAATCGGCAGGGAACATTTTAAAAATGCTGAAAGCATTTTATGGGGTTTAGGAGCTGAACTCCTTGTTTTCCTCCTGAATTACAGTCCTTTCATAATTTACTACTTTGCATTTTACATTACCCAACACTGAACCTTAAAATACTTGAAATCAGCGTACGCTAGAGACCTGGCACGTTTCATCTTCTAGGAAGTGACCGGAACTCTTGAGGTTGTTCTGCTTCCTAGCTTTTCCTGATCATGAAATTAATTTGCAAACTATTGCTTTCACTCTTGCACTGTCAGAGTAGGAGTTCCTTTACCATCTAAACAAGCATAAGGCACAAGGAAATGGCTTGTGCTGGCACTGTTTTTGTGTCATTATGTTAATCCTCCTCTTTAATTGCTACTTCTAACAATTATGTTTTCCTGTATTTACACCACAACTCCTAAATAAATGTAGGCCTGCTGCACCGGCACTGGTAGCCAGGAATAGGATTTATCTAGGGAAGTCTTTGTAGCTGGCTGAGAAGATTTCTCAGCAGGCAGCCCATTTCTAGCTGGGTGACTTATGAGCTGTGCTATTTCTTATTACCTTCTGTTTGTTTTTTCCAGGCTGCAGACTCTTGGCTGTGGAACTGACATCCAGCAACACCAAGCCCGTGGTGCAGGAATTCCAGAGTGAGTGCTAGGGGGGGGGCGCTGGCTGCACTGCCCTCTGCCTGGGGATTTGCATCAGCCCAAACAATTGAGAAAAATTCTGCTTGCTGTTCTGAGGGAGCCTGAGATTCAGAGAAGCCCTTAAGAACATGTCCCTATCTCTCCTTGTTTAGCAAAGCCCTCGATTGAAATGGTTTATTGAAGTCCTCTGCAAGGCATTGCAAGTGTCTGCCTAAGTGCTTTTTTGAACTGGATCCCAAAAAGAGGAAAGGCGGTCGCCTTGCAATTAATATAGTGAAAAGAGGGTCGGGAAATTTATATTTTCTCTTGGCCCTGCTACAGAGGTGCAATGTGATACTGGGTAAAGCCACCTCAGCACTGCTGTGATGCCCTCTTCCGTAGAGGAGGTGGAGATGACAGTGCCTGCTTCAAAGGGGGGTGGGTTTGCTGAGTTTATCCCCAGGCGTCGTGGTCCTCCGGACATTACCAGACACCACCCAGGGAGATTCTGCATCCCTGACTCACACTGTAGGCTCTGATTAGCAGCAAGACAGCGCTGTGGACTCACCCTGTCATAAGGTCTTGTTTGCCATAAGTTAGAGCCTGTAGAGAACAGTGTGTTCGTTCCTCTCCATAGTTGATATCTGTTCAGCTATTATTTTTGCTGGCCCAAATCCATCTTCCCCAATAGCTCCTGGAACCCAGCAGTGTTTCTGTTTGTAAGGCAGATGAAAGAGAAGGCTTTGCTTTGCGGGCAGCATCTCCTAATAAAACACCGTGCAAGGCTGCTTAAAGCAGAGCACAAATACAGCTGCTTCCCATTAATCTGTCCCTCCTTTATTTCTTCTGCTAGGTGTTGAGCTGTCCTGCATCATTAAATCCACCGTGACACCAGATCCCAGAATCGAGTGGAAGAAAATCCGAGATGGCGAAACCTCTTATGTGTTTTTCGACAATAAAATGCAGGGTATGAAGATTCATTGTTTGTAGACTTCCAGAACAGACTCAGAAACAATACAGCTGAGAACAAACAAGTCTGTAAAAGGCAGGACCTCTGGCTGTCGTGCTGCTTTCTTCTGGAACTGGAGTTCGGCAGTCAGAGTGCAAGATGGAGAGAGAGCAGGAGGTTCTCTGCTCTCTGCCCTCATTATTGACAGTTCGTGGCAGGGTGCAGCCAAGAGCTGGAGCGAGATCTTAGGTAGGAGATGCTTCTTGGGCAAGTGAGTGCTACAGCTTCCCTTCTCCAGCAGCTGTTGGTCCTTGCATGGTGGGTGTCTGAGCTCTCAAGGACCAGACACTGACCCCTCTTGTCTTTCCATGTGACGTCTGAGAGCTCCACCTGCATTTCAGAAGGGACCTCTGTCTTGAGCTGTCACTTACTGCTGAGGTAGCACGTACCTTGCAGCGTCCTGTGAGCACGCGTGATTAGAAGCAGAATCTTTGGCTTGATGGTGGATCTCAAACACAGGACTGCCAGCAGGGCTTAACTCCACCTGGAGTTACTCCAGCACTTGAGATGGGACCAAGAGCCGCTTCCAAATGAATCTTCCAAAGGAGACAAGACCTGAGGCTGTCCTGAAAGTCCAGTTTTGTCACAATTTTTGAGATTCAGGGTAGTGGTTTCCAGTTCATCCTTTTACATGCTTAGCAGCATTGGTTTCCTTTGTGGTCACTGGTGAAAGGAAGGCTTTTCGCTTTCAACCATCAGGCTCCTTTTAGGTGGTTCTTCTGACTCCAGAAAGAGTCCAAGATCAGCCGCTTAATTGAGATGCCTGCCATTAGTCTGTGATTCTGTGATTCTATGACTGTGCTGAATTTCTTCTCTCTCTGTCCTCTGTGTCAGGAGACTTTGCGACTCGTGCAGAAATTCTGAGCCGGACATCGCTGGTGATTAAAAACACCACCCGGATGGACACTGCCACATACCGCTGCGAAGTGGCAGCACCTTCTGATACTAAAACCATAGACGAGATAAATATCCAACTCACAGTCCAAGGTATTACTTTAAGCCCTGGTATCTCTGCAGGCACTGCCAGCTAACAGAACAGGCTGCGGGTCTCTCCAGAGTTGAAACAACAGAGCTCTGGAAGTTGTTTAAAACCAGTGGGAAATAATGGAAAGTTCTGATGCCTTTGTAGCAGAGCCGTCGTAGAAAGTGTGTCAGAATGTTTCTAGTTCTGCTCAGCAGTGCTGTTCACATGGGTTGTGTCTTTCCCACAGTGAAGCCTATGACTCCTCGATGCTCTGTGCCTAAAGCTGTACCTGTGGGCAAGACAGCCTCTCTTCACTGCCACGAGAATGAAGGTTTCCCAAAGTCCACTTACAGCTGGTACCGCAACAGTGAACCTTTATCACCAGACACAAAACCCAACGCCAAGTTCCAGAATTCCTCCTACACGCTGAACCCCACCACAGGCACTCTGGTAATGCCCTTACAGACATAATCACGACTTGTTTCGCTCGACAGGTTGTTTTTAAAGTTGCTTTTAAAAGAAAGAAGCCGTTGCATGGCTTTCAGGGGAGGTGTGATTTGAAGAAGGTTGGGTGTTCTAGGATCTGAGTGAGTTGGGAAGAGGAGGATTAATGATGGAAGGAGATCCTAGCTGTTTGGTTTTGATCACTGCCAATACCACTTGCCTTTTTAGAAAGAGGGAAGATGTCTCACAGGCAACTGTGAAGCTGGGGAGAGTTTTTTCTAGGTGCCTTATCTCTCACGTCCTGTGCCCTCCCTTTTCTCCTCCCCAGGTTTTCCACGCTGTGCACAAAGGCGACACAGGCCGTTACTCCTGCATAGCAACAAACGATGCTGGCTTTGCTAAGTGCGAGGAGCAGGAGATGGAAGTCTGTGAGTGGCTCTACATGCATTTTGTCAGTGCTCATTAATACCTCACCATAAATAAATCGTCATCACCATAGGGAAAGCAGGGGGACATCACAGAGCAAAAGTTTTCCCTGCTTTCTCATAGCCCCAAACACAGGAAGACAAAGAAATCTCAGGGAAACATTAAAAACACTGTTCAGATTCATGCACAGTTTTATTCTAGCAATCAGGGACTCACTAGTTCTATGAATTATTGGGGTTTGCTTAGAATATTCAAGATACATCATTTTAGTGTACGCAAAGCTAGAATATTGCTGCTGCCCTAAAGAAATACTGGATGATGGCTTTTCTCTTTGCCAGATGACATCAATATTGGTGGGATAATCGGTGGAGTCCTGGTGGTCCTAGCAGTGTTGGTGCTCATCACTCTTGGTATCTGCTGTGCCTACAGAAGGGGTTACTTTGCAAACAGCAAAGAGAATGGGGAAAGGTAAGCTGGGACTTAGACAAGTCCTTGTACCCACACCTAGCAGTGTGGATGCCAGAAATTGGTGACTAAAATGTTTTTCAGTACCTGACTAGTTTCTTCCTAGTTCCCTACCAAAGGCTACAGCCCAGCCCAGCTCTTGAAGTATCCGATTCCCTGCTGTAAGCCCTGCACTGTCACCAACGTTTATTTGCCTAAGGGAGAATTTTGGTGTGGCTCCTCTTGTGCTTGCTATCAAGACCAGAGATAGAAGTGAAAACTGTGCTCTAATATCCTCATACTTTGCCCAGGAAGGGGAGACCCGCACAGCTAAATGCCTGCAGTTGTTTGTCCAATAGGATATATTTAATGAACAGAGCTCACTGCACAATTGGTTTAAAGCATCAGGACATGCTTAGAAAATGTATGCAGAAGAGTAGGCTGTCTACAGGAAATCTCACTAGTTGTGAGAACCTAAATTAAAATGTTAAAAACAACAGCATTAGCGTCAGAAACAAGCCTTGATACCCTAGCGAAATCTGTAGAAGAGATAATATATGTAAAACCAAGATTCTCACCAGATAGATTTGTTCCATGTTAAACGTTGCTTTTCAGAAGTCTTGTTTTTCTGATTTGGTTTGGATTTCAGAAAAAGCTCCAAACATCCTATTTAAATGCAGCTGAGGGTTGGCACACACTGGACTTGACAGTCGTGTATAAATTCTGAATGCGTATGGGACTGCAAACGAGTGGCGCTTCCTTATAACTAAGGGAAATGCTGAAGGCATCTGGCAGTGAAGGTATAAAATGAACTTCATAATTGCCACAGGAAACAATGCAGGAGGCACACAGAAAGGTGGTATGCAGGGACCAGAGCAGGAGAGCCCAGAAAAGAATCTGTTAATCTCTTTGCAGTTAGTCTTGTGGAAACATACAGCAATCTTTTTATCCTATGCTAAAGAGGAATTTAGAAAAAATCCCAGTCATGACAAATAATGGAATAAGCACACACAGATCTATCACTTGAGCAATGAGCTGGGTTTCTCTCTGCTTGCTTTTAATTCAGCTGCTCTTCCTCATGTCATCTTTCTCAGCACCTCCCCTCCAAAACCCTGCAGCCCTCTAGTCCCAGAAATGAGGTCTTTTCCTTTATTTCAGCTACAAGACTCCAGCAAAACCTGATGGCGTTAACTATATCCGGACAGATGATGAGGTAACAAATGATTTGCATTTAAGATCTCTCTGTTTAGGAGAGGAAGAGGGTGGGCAGAGGACTACTCGCTTTTTTAGGGCCTACAGGCTTTCTTGGAGTGGGCACCACTCAGAAGCAAGGATGTAGAACAGAGGGAAAGCAGAAGGGTGAAGGCTGAGTCATTTCCTTAGAAATGATGAGCAGTTTAAGTTGCCTGACGTGACTGATGCCAAGAGCTATCAAACGCAGCTCTGCTCTGCCTCAGTTATCTTATGGCTTGACCCCCTTAGGATGAGTTTCATTGGATTAAGTGGGCAGGCTGTGATGCTTTTACAAGAGAATTTGCATTTTGGGATTTGAATAGATCGCTAAGCTTAAGATCAGAAAAAAGCCTCTCCCTATTAGCAGAGATAGTGAAGAGGGAATGAGAAAGTGCTCTGCTGTGCCTCGGGGTGTGAGGAGGAGCAGGAGAAGGAGCACCTGGCCAGTATGACCGGCATCTCCCTCTCCTTACCAACGGGAAGGGGGTGCTGCCTGCACAGTGCTACAGGTTGGGCAGCGGGGACAAAGAGGTGCCTGAAAGCTGCTAAATCCTTCCGACATCCAGAACTGTTTTGTTGCAGGGTGACTTCAGACACAAGTCTTCATTTGTCATATAAGACGCCGAAAGAATATTGCAAACCAGCAAAAGCAAGTGTGAAAATACCTCCTCCAGGAACTCAAAGCGAGAGCAAAAGATGAATTAAGTGCGCTTGGAAGAGTTTGGAACACAGAAGAACTTGATAGCTAGCTATCTGTATATCTTTTTTCTTTTCTTTGCCAAAGTTTATCAAGTAACTCCTCACTGCCCAACTCGCATCTCCCCTGCCTCCGGAGATACCAACAGGAAGCGTTTTAATACTTCCCAAGAGACTGGACTCTGGAAGTTTGTGGAATTGCCTTCTCTTTGTGCTGCAGGGATACAGCCACAATGTGCAAACCAACCAGGGGGACAGCGTTAGGTAAACGTGTAGTAGACATTACTAGTACGCACTACTAGTAGCCAAAAAAAGGTGCTGATAGGGCAATAGGTGGACTTCAAAGAATAAGATTTAGCCACGCAAGGGGGAAATCCTCCTCTCAGCAGGTTGTTGCCCAGGTCTGGCTGGTGACTTTTACACATTTGTGATTGTCTTGTGCTTTTGGCTCTGACCGCCCAGGTGCCGCAGGGGGTATCTGAATGGCCGGCAGCGGCAGATCCCCGTTGCGAGCACGCGACCGACGTGCCCAGCCCTTTGGCAGACTTACTGAATTCTCCTGGTTCCGTTTAACCTGAAACACGGGCGGCATCAGGCCGGAGGGATTGCTTCTGTTCACTGCTTTAGAGAAAACTCATTACACGCAGGTAACCCCTCGTTCTAATCTGCACAAAGCAGGCTTGCTCTTGCGTCTTTTGGTGTTTTAAAGAGGCTTAGAGTGGAGGCAGAGAACCTAGTGCTTAAGACATCCCTTTCAGGAAAATTAAAGCCAAATACTTTCGTAGGCTAAGATTGCCGTAAAAGGTACGGAGATATCTTCAAGCTTTTTTACCTTCTCCATTTATTTTGTAAAAATCCCACGTTCTAAAATTTTTGCAAAGATATATTTTGATTACTTCAGAAAAGGTAACATTTCTATTTAAAGTGTAAATATGTGATGCCAGCAGTGTTTAAGTAACGTAGCTATTTTTTTACTTTTTAAGCTACAGAGAGGAGCTCAAATGTTGCTACAGTATGGCCCTGTCAGAGCATATCAGTATTATTGCAAAGTGTAATAAAAAACTGCAGGTGGAACAGCATCTCTTTCCTCTTAAGCTAGCTTCAGCAATTTCCTTGTCACAAGAGGTCTTACGGGACACAGAACAGAGTCACTCAGGGATAGTTTTTGTAAATTTATGGCAGGAGCTATCAACTTTTTTATACATGAAACGTACTTTTCTTGCCAGTGACCAACATTTTGTTTTTGTTGTTGCAAGAAATATCCAGGGATGGCTTTTGGATTCAGTTCCAGCAAGGTGACAGAGTGACTTCAATGTCTGCTACCCCTCTGCAAGCTCCCTAAAGCACTAACACAGCGTGACAGCCGTGGCAACTTTACAGGTTTAAACCACATAGCCGGGGCAACTGGTTCTGGAGTTGGGAAAGCAAAAGCTCAATACAAAAGCACTTTTGTAGTGTCAGTTGCAACTTTTCTATAGATGGTAAAAGGAAAAAAAAAGAAAAAAAAAAGAAAACAAACCTAGTTCTCTTGGCTTTCGAGAGAATAGTTGGAAACATGTTTCCCAGGAACATACCTGTTGCTAGTTTTGGACAGCATTGGGTAATAAGAAGACTGCAAGATGTGGATGCAACACTAGAAGAACTGTGCTGTGGTTTAAGAATTTTTTTAATGTAGCATAATTTAGTGTTCGTGTATTTCCAATACGAATTGAGTTGTCTTAACTTTTCCTGTATACAGTATTTTGGATACTTGACGATTTGGACTGTCAGTGTTATTTTTTTAGTGGTCTGCATTAATCTGCTTTGTTTCCTAGGGGCCTCGCTGGACATGCCATTGCTGCATTTGTTTGCCTAAACAAAGTGTTACGACTTCTCCTTTCGCTAACGAAAGTCAAAATAAGGATGGGGCAGGAATAACCGTATGTTCTCTGTGTAACCTGGACGTTATCGCTGCTATCTTGCAGCTCCACGGTGGTTACCTTCTGAAGACATCCAGGCCACCCGGTGCTGTTCACTGGCTGCGCGCTGCCTCTAACCATGCTGACAGTAGCGAGCGTAACATTCCTTTGCACCTTCTCTGTATCCACTGCTCCTTTTCTATGCTGCTTTTAGGATGCCTATAAGGGAGAGAAAGAAAAGGTTCGAGTCAGGGTAGCTCTGGGCACTGTGGGAGCACAATCGACAGTCTCACAATGAACCAAAGGCAGCCTTCACGTGAAAAGCCAGCCAGCTAAGAATCAAGGCTTAATTTTTCAGTTCTAAAATGTGACAGTGGCATCTCTAACGAGAGAAGGGGGAGACCGATCCCCCCGATACAGCTCATGAGATCTGACTGATGGAATTCATTGTATCGTTGTGAATAATATTCAGGTTTGTACTAATGTATTACGTTTAACTTTGCCAAGAATGTTTTACATAAATACCAAGCTATAAAGCATTCTTGTAGGGTTTTTTTTTTTGTTTGGCTTTGTTTTTTAAGCAGCCATACTGTTGGAGGCTTCTGTTTTCAATTCAGTGAAATAAGGGAAAGTCGCTTGTGTCAGAGCAGTCATTTGCTTGCATTGAGCCGAAGGTTACAGTAAGTCCAAGGTACGTTGCTGTTTATCACTTTATTCTTGGACATTTGTCTATCCCTGGTTCTTCTCTAGAAAAGACAGATTAATGCTCACATGGCTCATCTCAGTGCTGCTCAAGGACAGAGCAAAAAGTAGAAAAGTACAAAGTAGGAGGTAAACTATTCCGATTTACCACGCAAAGTACTTAAACGATATTTTAAGGCAGGAGAGAAAGTACAAAATAAATGGATGTGGCCCTAATTGACCACTGCGAAGCCCTTCCACATGTCCCCTGTTCCCAGGTTTTGACTTTGATTTCGAGAATAAAGTTATAACGTCACTTGAAGCTTTCTCTGATCTTCAAAACAGAACAGGGAAAGTGAGAACAGATTATGAGATTCCAGTGAAAGAGGTAAGTGTGTCTGGAAGGGCTGCGGCAGAAGCACCCTCAGCCTCTTTGTTTCCTCTTGTGCCGAAAAGGCTACTTCGTTTGTTGCTCATGCCTGAATAGGATGGACCAGCATGAATAAAACAGATTCCATTTTCAAGTTTCAATGAAATCTAGGGCAAGAGCTCTGTAACAGAAGTTAACAACGGAAAAACTTCAGTGAGGCTCGTGTGGCATCAGACGGCCTGGGGAATGGTCCGATTTCATTTACACAATGCGTTCAGGATAAACAGGCTATCTGCACAGAGCACAGCGCCCTGCGTATGACTTACCTGCCTTCATTTTAGGGAGTTATTCATATCCTGCTTGCAGTCAAATAAATCTATATTTAAAAGCTGCTGGGTCCAACGTTAATTGAACTGAGTGCCTAAGATACCAGCGATGCAGCAGAAGAGACTTAGAGGCTGTAGAAATCTATAGAAAAAAATAATTTCTCTGTCAGAGCAAGAAGAGGGGAGAAGCTGTGGGTGGAATTAATTCTGTAACCATTTATTTTCATAAAATGTTAATAGTTGGAAATAACATAGTTCAAGAATGGAAATGTTCCATATAAAAGAACATTAAGGCTGTTCATACACACAGGAGTTTGTACAACAAATAAGAGGTGATGTGGTGTGCAATTACCAGATTTAGGGGTGTGACAGTGACAAGCTGTTTTACCTTTGTTCAAATTAAAGCAACTCTAGTATATAACCAAGAGGGACAATGAGGGATCGAGTGAATAAGCTGAGCCACTCACTTCCCTGCAAGCTGTGATAAATGCCGTCATTGCTAAGTTTGTGGCAACCTTGTGCTCTTGGTTTTCCAAATGGACAAATTATACATCCTGTGAGTGAAGAGCAAGCCTCCCTTTACACTGCAGCTTTCTAGCACGCCAGCGAGCTTTGTCAACAGCAGCAGCTTATGATACATCCATGTGGTAACGCAGGCTTTGCCTGTATTCTAGAGTTTCATGTAAAACCCATGTAGGGATAAGGAAGGAAGGACGTGTGCCCACAATGATTTATAATTACAGAGGAAAAGGGACAGATTTCAGTCAACGTGATTCTGTACAAAAGTTCAATGAGAGGATCAGTTGTCTGGTTTCAGTGGAGTTCTCCGCTGGGACCGTCTCAGAGGGACATGCTGGCTGCTTTTTTTCCTTGCTGGGGATTCTACTTTCCACTCGCGTGGCAGGGACGGGCTAGAAGAAGGAAGCAGAATGACCATTTATTTTAAGGCACTTTACCAGTCTTTCTCACTGCTGTTTCAGACCTGCGCTGAACTTACGGTTTCTCTGGTGATGTCAAACAGATAATCTCTCGTGGCTCATCCTCAGCCTCCTTCTTATCTGCAAATAATGCATATATTTTCCTATTTTTAAAAATGCCACAGATTTGGTCATCTGGGGTTGTTTCCCCCTCAGGTTAGAATCACAAAGCTAACTTGCCTGGAGCTGAACCGGGTGTGTACGTCAAGCTGATGTAACTGACCCCAGCACCAAAAGTCAACTCATTAATGGTCTCTGAAAGAAAAAAACACATATTAGCAGGCAGCTCGTGACATAGCCAGAGGGCAAGGCACGCTGTAGTAGAACACTCAAGTGTCGCGGAGTAAGTCTACCCAGTTAATTGCAAGCACATACACATCTCTCTTTTCCAGCCCGGTGGATCTCAGTGTCTCCCATCCAGCCTCAAAACCACTCACTGAATCCAGCGAGCCGTCTGCACACACCACCTTCCTGCTCCAGACTTGCAGCCTTCCTCGTACTAGAGGAAATTAATTTAAATTTGGGACCTCAGCCATGCACCTCCTTGTCCTCCCTAGGTGAGAGAGCCACACCTTCCACTGAAGCTTTGCCATCTTTCACAACAAGTTATATTCAGACCAGTTGCCCTCTCGAGGCACGACACGGGGTGCTTGAAGCCTGACAAAGGACCCGAAGCGCCGTTCCGTGAGGAGCTGCCGGCAGTCTGACAAAAGGAACCGCTTGACAAGGAAGCTAGGTAGAATTCAGCTTGCCTGAATAGGCCATGCTTGTCAGCTGTCTCTTTCCTGTCATTTATCTCAGGAGAGATGTCACAATATTCAGATTTTACTTTACCCAAAGCTCTGTTTTATGCTCATGTTTCCCAGAATCTTTCACATGGAATTAAGGCAGAAAGTGCTTTATAGGGCAGGAGTTGGAAACTCTGCTCAAAAGACTTCTCTCTAGAGACTAACTGGGTTGGCTCTTTAACTGCTTCCCTGTCCTGGAAGGGAATCACTGAAGCTTGTAGTGGAAATCTCACTTGATCTATCTGCCTTAGTTGGCCTCTGCATCGCTCAAGACTGATGTGCGAGTGTCCTGACTTGGTGTAGTGAGGGCTTTAAAGAGGAAGTTCCTGTGAAAGGAAGGAAATCAAGTAGAGCTTCCCCATGCAATCAGAGGTGGGATCTTCACCACACATGTTTAAGTGCGACAGTGAAGCGATCTGCACTTGCCCAGACTCTCTTAGCCATTCTCAGAGTAAAAAGCAGGAATTAAGGAGACCCAAAGACAACCAGGGACAGAGTGACAGCCAGAACAGCCGAATAAGGTAAAGAGAAGAGACAGCTGTTCTTAACTTCTCCAGTACAAAACTGTTTACAAAGAACTGCATGTCCCATAGTTTTAGAAAGATACACCAGAGAAATCAAAGCTTTATTTTGATTGTCTATCAGCCTGCAAGACCCAGCACCACCACGCAGATGGCTCAACACACACTAGCTGAAGTGATGCTGCTGCTTTGTACAGTTTGTCTCCCCGCTGAAGGACACGTGCTGCCTCGAAGAAAAGTAGGGATTCAGCCCTAGCACCACTGCAGATTAACGTTCTTCCTCCTTCTTCACCATATGGTGCTCAAGAGAAACAGCCGTGCAAGCTTCCAGACAGAGACATGGCGCTTAAAGATTTCTGCTCTCTAAAAACATGCCCCCCATTTTTTATTTTGCACAAAGAGCATTCCTTGTTGCTCAGGCAGGGAAGAGAAACATTGAGGCAGACAAATCTAGTCAAATAGTGGAGCACACAGGGAAGAGCAGGGTCAGATTTTCCAGCGGCTGCACATCACTGCCGCCGGTTTGCTCCTGCCTGCTCGCGGACGTCAGGTATTTGCAGGCTGCCAGAGCTGACTGAGTGCCTTATTGGCTACACGTCCTTTGCTCTCTCGTGTGCGTGCGGGTCAGGGGCTCACAGAGAATCAGGCAAAGAGCTACGCTTTGGGATCATCGACCTCTCCCCACGACAATTCACAGCAGCCTAACAAGAGCTGACCTGTCAGACACTCACCTACACCCCCAACTTAATTGGAGCTCGTGAGGGGGTTCATCGTGCTCCCAATTTGCACTACGAGGGAGATGCCCTAAAGGAGTTCAGCAGCGAATTGACGTAGAGGAAGGCAATCTACTGCTGGAACTCAGCTCCATTTGTGTTTTACTGTGACTGCCTCTTGCGCTTGCAGAAAACGACACTGCGGAATGCTGCGGGGCTGTCAGAAAGCATTCCAAAACCCTCTAACTTTTGAAGGTCAGGTTTTGTGAAATGGCAATTCAGGTGCAAGGCACAGCAGACTCTCGCAATTTATGTATCAGAGATTTCTCTCTGTGTATTTTTACTTTAAATTCCACAGCAGAGTGAAAAACCCCAAATCTTCTCCTTCTCCAATGCTCAGTTCAGGTCTTTCTTGGGGTGGAACACACGTACTCAGACGTGACTGTGCAGGTTATTGATCTCACCTGAGCGGACCACTCTCTGCTCTTGCAATTGTCACAGCTCCCTGCCTGCTCCGGAAGCAGGTTGTAGCTCACCTTTGTTTGACAATAGGAAACTCCATCTTGGAGCTGAAACGGGCCAGACTTTGAATATTTCCCTCGGTAGCAGGGTTCTCTAATTCAGTCTAAAACTGCTAAGTGATGCTTCCAGAGCTAAGGAGAGCAAGCAGGGTCCTGCACACTTGGGGCAATGCATGCTGTGAAGGAACCATAATATGTCCCCTGGGCACCACAGAGCTGATGAAGGAAGAAAGGGCGGCAGCTCTGTTACTTGAGCAGCCAAAATAAATGATCTCCTGCACTGACTCAATATTATAACACCGGTGAAATGTAAATGGAGACCACGTTGGACTGTCTTTTCCTATGAACGTCATTCATCTACAACCTTCAATGTCAGAACGGTTCTTATTTAACCACAACCATTTTGATACGTAAGTAATCCACTGCTGTCAATGACTACTTTTCTCTGCTCTTTAGGGGAGCCACGCATTGCTGCCTCTCTCAGAGAATGAGGGTTCAGCCCCATTTGGAAAGGGTTCCTTTGGGTTCTACTTACGTTCTGGTGTGCTGATTGCACGGCCCACCACACCAGCGCTTTCTCCGGCAGACTGTTGGTTCAGGCTTTGAAAGGATGCTAGAAATAACAAGAAAATAATTACCAACAGAAATGTATTCACTTAGAGACCTCAAGGGTCTAACAGTCAGGCTACTAGACGTAGTCTAATGCCAGATCAGTGTGCAGCAAGGTTCTTACCTTGCTTGCTGCCAGCTGTGCTTGACTGGAGTGATACAGCTGATCCAACGCTCTTGCTGCGTTGCTTGCTTCTGGCTTCCACGGCTTTCCTGGCAGAGTTCAGGATGGCAAGTGTGCTCAAGGATAACGTCCTACAGTGCAAAAACCGTGACAGAAACAGTGATTTCCTTCTGTCAGCCCAGATGAGATTCATGAAATGAGGAGAGAGACCTGTCCCCTCCAAATCCCTTATTATTACAAACACCAACTCTAATGGGGAAGATAATGCTGCAGCACTGGTGACTTTCACACCACTAAGGACAGAGTGAATAAGCAAAGCAATAGCCCTGCAGTAACTGATAACTGGTAACACAAACAGAAAGCCACACCTGCGACTGGGTAACAGCTGCTTCCCACCAGCACTGGGCATGCTAAGCTCCGAAGGGACAGAGGAAGCACTTGGTCCAAGTGGCGAGGACTCTCTCCCATTTACAGAAGACTGAGCATTATTTTTCCAACCACCAGGAGCTATAGCTCTCTCTGAAGATGACGGAGGCTGTTACAGAAAACAGGAGGAAAGATTAGCACATACTTATTTCTTTATATTGACTTTAAAACAGAATATGCATGACTAGGACACGTGCAAGTTGCCACTCTATATACACCACAAGTCAGACAAAATGAATCCTCTTCTTTCTGACCTGTTTATCATCTTTACCATTCTGGGACCAGAGAGCAGCATAACACGTAAGCACAGCCAGTGGCAAATTAGACTTAGTTTTCTCCTTAAGTTGAATTCTTTTTAGAATAATTGGCTGCTGCCTCTCTTTGCCCGATGCACTGTTTGTTGTTGTTCTAAGCGTATTAAATAGCTCTGAAACCAGAGCTTCTGACAGCAAATGCAAAGAGCTATGCGAACGTTACATAACCATTCTGCTAAAAGTGCTGTAACAAGGCCCACAGACATACAGAGTCTGGGTGTTACGTGTAGACAAACTTTAGCTGAGGAGACAGTATGTGTACGGAGTTAACGGCACCAACAACCTCTGCCTGCGCCACTGAGACCTGCTCCTGGTCCGACTCCATCTCCGCGGCCAGCTGCTCTTCATATTTCTTCATATCGTACTCCAGCTCGGCTGCCAGCTGCTTGTCCACAGCAAAGAAGTCTTTGATTTCATTTCGGTAATCTTGCATCATTTCCTGGAGCAATATGAAATGTTTAAACTCTTTCAGAAATCTCTCCTGACTACTGATTCATGTCTCCATTCAGATCACAGCTGCTTAAGTGCAAAAGGAAATACCAGTTGGTAGAGCAGAGGTGTTTTTAACAGACTAAGAGTTTCGATTCCAATCGGTACTTCAGAACATGAAAAAGCTCTCCAGCATTCAAGCTTTCTGCCCACGTCCCACTGAGGAGGCTCACACGTAACACACTGTGAGATCCTTATCTAAATCCCTCCACCTCCTACGTTATTTAACACAGTGGCAGTGTCACAACATCATATGCCTCCTAAATTTCCTTCTAAGAAGGCTGTTCGTTCCATTACTGATTGCACATCTAACACATTAACTCAAGAGAAGAAAAATAAAAATCCCAGCAAGAAAACACTTTCCCTTACCCGCAGGTAGCTCATAAGGTCCCTAAGAGCTGGGATCCTCTTCTGCTCCATCAAAGACTTCAGCGATGTGATTATTGGGATGATATTTTCTACAAAATTCTTCTTTTGAACCTTTGTTTGAACAAAGCATGAACAGTCACACAACATAATAAAGGAGAAGCCACTCTGCGGTTAGATGAATGGCCTAAATGAGAGGAGTTACCGCTCCACAGCAAGGGAATTAAGGCAATTAAGCCTGTTCTTACGCCGCACGCATGTACGCAGGCTTTTAACCTAAGTGGAGTCTTTTAAGATACATCACTAATTCAGTCAGTTCTCTCACTGGAGGCACATTGCCAAAAGGTGCACCAAAAAACGCTGTTACGCTCGAATTCTTTACCAGTGAGAGAGAGATCTGTGGAACAAATTAAGCCTGGCAGAGCATCACTGACTTCCGAGGAAATGCATTTCTGATCGCTCCAACTGACTCCTCAAGCACAAGCATCTTTCACGGCTCTAGCTGTAATGTTTTGTCTTACAGTGCTTCCACAGGTGCCCTCGGATCCCGAGCCTGGATAACAGTCCCCAGGCACAGTATGTCATTGGCATTGCTACGTCACCTGGATAATTTTTGTGCAAGTTTCTCCATCGTAGAAGGGTGGAATTCCTCCCGGTGTGGTGGCCAGCCCTCTTCCCACACCAGATCAAGCACCACTCACCTGTGAGATGAGCTTCTTCTGTGCCACCTGCATGACAGCGTTGGCCATTGCCATTTCATCTTCATCAGGCTGAATGTCTTCATCGGGCTTTGATCTCATAGTTGATAGCTTGATTTCTTTGCAGCTCAGGACTGCAAACGTATCTGAGAGCAGCTCGCTGGCTTCCAAGTCCAATGGAAGGATCTTATCCACAAAACATGCTGGAACAGACGCAGAAGACATGAGAAGTGTTTTACTGGAAACAGCAGTGCCAGTAAAGACAGAAAGATAACGTGGCTGGATTGAGAGCCTAATGGGTTTATGCAGACATATAGTCTTTCTTTTGCCAGATTTTTAAAGACAGACCCTTACCTAGGATGCTGTGGCTGATCTTGGTTGTAATGCTGAACCTCTGCTCATCCGTAAAGTGGTCGAGCAAGAACTTGTAGATACGCATCCGTTTTTCTTTGTTATCTTTTCCCTTCAGAGAGAAGAGATTCTTTGCCCTGTGGTAAAGCAAGACATTTTACAAGGGCCAAATTACATTACGCGAATTCACAGAAATAATACGACTTTAAATCAGCAAAGAATATTTGAATGTCACTTTCGATACCCATAAACCTGTTAGGATACTACACACTCCCACAAATTACATGCACAAGTCCTCCCAGAAGTGTCATGGGGAAGGCAGGACACTCTTAATTTAACGCTGTTTGCCCTAGCCGCTTCCCCCGTGCTGCACGCAGAATTAGAAGAATGTGAACGCTTTGCTGCAACCAAAAGCTGTTTGGCCAGACAGCCCATGATTTACCAACACGGAGATACGAGTGTGCTCAACTGACCGTGCACTCTGGGGGAACCTGTTGTATTTCTCATGTTTCTCGTAGCAGTTGAAATGGAAGATGCACTCAATGAAGTGCTGGGAGAACATTACTGGATTCCTCTTCAGCAAGAGATGCACCAAGCAGAATTCTCCAAAGCTGGAAAGGAGGAAAAGGAAGAACTTATCATCTGGAAGCTTTTAAAAGCCTCCCTTGAAACACTGTGTAAGGTCACAAGCTGTAAAGCAGGAGGTTAATTTTCTTCTGCCGAGTCTCACTCAATACCACATTTAATTCTTGTCCTTTTGGGCTTGAAAAACAGTATCAGCTTACTGACTTTAAGCTTTTTTTCATCCAGAAAGAGATAGATGTTTTCAGCAATACTACTTCCTTTTTTTTGGCAATTAAACAGAGACAGAAATAAATTTGAACTTGAATCCAGGCACAACACTTCCATTATTTAAATAACTTAAGTTCCACTGCAGCTGAGACACAGTACTTTGCAAAAAAGTTAATCACCAAAAGTCCTGCAAGAGGTGCAAGTCAGTCTCAGACTTGAAGAACATGGTTTTGTCTGGATGTAGTCACTGAATGCAGATGCAAAGAAAAAGGCTCCCACAGAAATAGCACCTGTGTTCCTTAGCTAGAAACATGACGTTGCAATGTCACCATCTACTGGAAAGACATTTTTAGATATTAAAAACTCACTGAAGAGAAAAGAAAGGCTGGATATGCACTCGTAAGCAACGATAGGTTGATGGCTTTGGAAATACCAGTTTTCAGATGGACTGTTCCAGGCAGAGACAAGGAGCAAGCTGTCCAAGCCTCCTCTGCATCCAGCATCCCTGTACAATCTACCATCCGTACAGGAACCTGTCCCACTCTCACTTCTCATCTAAAAGCCACTTGAGACTTTGAAACCTATAAAAATCTCATCAATATGCACTTAAAGCCTGTGGATATAATTCCTCTTACATGTCCAAGTATTACAAAACATGGTAGAAGGTTTAAAAAGACAAGGCATGACATATGAGAAAAAAGAGAATATTTAATCCTAATACTAAAACGAGTACTCAAGACAGAGCCTATTAGAGACACATGATTTCACAAAGGCTTGTTTCAAAAATACTTTTGTTTTTTTCTGGATAACTGAGAGTCAAAAATAGAGCAGAGCTGCACATTTTGAAGAGAGCCAAGAACACGCAGCTTTCTACTTTGGGACCTTCAGGTGACTTGGAAAGAGGTTCACCACTCCTTTGCTACCCCTGCAGACCCTGAAGCGTGAACAACTGCACGAGTGAAGAGGTTAGTGGGAGAATCATCTGCTTTCTCACTGAGTTTTTAATCTGCGTGCTGAAGGTTCCAGACTGAGACTGGTTCTGAGTACCCCTCTGATCCTTGACTCCTTTTTTATTTTAGAAACCAGCATTTTACCTGGCAATATCTGGATTTGGATCCACCAAGACACTGACAAAACGGAAGAAGAGACAGTCTTTCCATTTCACAAACTCCTCCTGTAAGAAATCAGCAGGCAATAAGTTCTCAACTGGAATCTGAAAAAAACTTACCATAAAAGCCATAGCAGCAAGCAGCTAGGTCTACCACAGGTATCAATAAAAAAGTAGAAACATGTAAAATCTGTTCTGCCGTTCCAAGGCACACATGCTGTTCAACACTGTTCTCAGAGCCAAAAGTACTGCAAGTCTGCCTTGGTTGGCTTTATATGAACATTGGGAGGGTAAACGTCTCAACATTTACATCTTTAGAACAATAAGCAGAGACAGCAGGAGAAAAAGGTGCTGTGAGGCTTGCTATAGTCATCACATAGGGGTGAAATGGAAAAGAATTCAAAGGAAAAAAGAGAAGACAAGAGAAGAGGTAACCATTGACTAAAAAAAAATAAATCTCATTATCCAGCTGTGTCAAGTATCCTCCATGTGATTTCTGCCTAGCTAGCAAAAAAAAGGCAGTAACAAGATACACAGCTTAAAGCCTTCTTGGTTAAGCGGAGATTAATCAAGGTATAAGCAATACACCCACTGGGCAGGTTGCCAGTCTTGAGCACCACAGAGGTGCTTGAAGCGGGGCTGTCAGACCCCACCTAGGACCTCGGTGTACCTGCAGAAGGTTGGTGAGCAGGATCAGCGTCTGCTTCCGGATGAAGGGATTTGGGTCCTTCAGACACAGGGAAATATTGGGCACGTATCGGTCCACCATGGACGTGTAGCGGATACAGAGATCACACATGACAATGACGACGTTATTGCGAACAGCCACATCATGTGACACCTCCAGTTCTCGAGCCAGAGCTGCGATGCATTTCTTGGCCAGATCCTCGTGCTGCAAACACAATTTACCTGTGAAACAGAGACGAGGTTGTCAGTGCTGTGAAGATATTCTTCTGCCGAACCACCACGGCCCAGATTACTGCCTCCTTTGAGTCCAATATGAGTCAAGAAAGGAATCGGGAAGTAAACAGGGGAATAAATCAGAAACACATGCTGAAACTTCATGAGCAATCTGCATGATCTCTCAAAGAAATGATACTTCAAGGAGTTCTTCCAAACTCCTCTTAGACCTACAGTGTGGGTCTCTATGCCAAATTCCCTCCTTCACAGAGAACTATTTCTGTGTACAGGGTATTATTCAAAGCAGCTAAAAAGAACAGCCCCAGCTGTCATAGGCATAGCAGGGAGACACCCACCTCGGAGAGCATCACTAAACCATCTTAATTTAAACTACCCTGCATTCCAACATTACTTCTCCCTAACTGTTTCTCAGCTTTGTACCAAAGGATTAAGCATCCCGAAGCAGTTAAGCAAGGAATAACACTATCGATCTGCAAGAGAAGAGACTTGTTCCTGACCACAGAGGTACTACAAAACCAGAACTTTCACCAGTGCTCTCCGTAATACCGGAGCTGTAGATCTGACTGAGCTTCCATCACAAAGAAGCTCTTCATTCGTGCTGAGGAGAAAAAGTAACTACGTGCAGTCATTCTGCTCTGAACTGCACCAAACGCACCAAGTTTTCTTCCTCCTCAGCTGAGGACACGTAAGATGATCCTTCAGCCAGACAGCAGCCAGCTCCCACTCCAAGGGCAGCGCAATGCTGAAGCATGTTGCTAATTATTAATCACTATTAGTGCATTAACCACCATGAGAAGCAGTCACAGAGGTGGCAGAATCTTTATGGTCTGTGCAAGTTGTTACCATGGATATGTGCACTGCTCAAAGCCAGGAGCTGCAGCGATACAAACACCGAGCACTGTGGCTACCTGTCACAACTGGTAACAGCTTTCGAGCAGAACTTTAACCAGGAGGGCTGAGAACTGGACACCCGATTCTACGGCAGGATGGCGCTTACCCAGAGTAATGAATGCGTGAGCTCTGACCACTGGAGGCATGATTGATCCTCTGAACTGGGACAGGGGCTGCGAAGCTGGAATTTCCTCATCATCTGGAGAACCAGACACTAGGAAAGAAGAGGTCAGGAAGGAAAACGTGCTTTTTTGATCAACAGTGCTGCCTGTAAATGCAAAATTAAAGGAGAGAGCCTCACATTGGTCCTCGTGGACAGAAGAAGCCAGAATGGACTGAATCAAAAAAAAGATGCGTTTCTCCACTTTGGCTGGGCACAGCTGGGCAGCCTCTCCCAAGATGAAGAGGTGTCTCACCTACAGAGAGAAAGCAACACTGCAGTCAAAAGGCAATGGCTGAGCTGCATTTTTTTTCAGGAATCGCACGCTACTTCTCCAAAAATAACTTAAAATTCTCTGTCCTTTCAAGAAGCAGAAGGTGAAGCTTTGAAACAGGAACGGGGTGTGCCTTTGCTTAATATGATGTAAACCTCCATGTCTACAAATAATATTGAAATAGTCCTCATAACATTCTATGTGTTTTACAGACTTATTTCCCAGACTGCTCATGTAAGAAGCATGAGTGGAAAAGCAAAATAAAAACATGTTGTTTTATTAAAAACACTCAGGGTATTACATCCTTAAAGCTACCGCTAAGGTGAACTTAAAAGAACACCCATTTCAGGTACCCCTACACCCTTGCTCATGTAAGAAGCATGAGTGGAAAAGCAAAGAAAAAACGTGTTATCAAAAACACTCAGGGTATTATATCCTTAAAGCTACTGCTAAGGTGAACTTACACCCATTTCAGGTACCCCTACACCCTGTGACCAGTGAAGGGGAACCAAACTTACCAAGAGATCTTCTTGCAGCTGCTCTGCTCCATCCTCTTTGAGCACTATATTCGAAATATAGCTTTCACAGGTGGATACTAAATCTCCACACACCTGGTTGAGCAGCTCCTGTTCCATAATTAAACAAAATTCATTCAGCACTTGATTAATTAAACAAAATGTAGCTTTACTATCTGTCCACACATGAATCCTTAATCTGAAAGTCCTTAAATGCTTTTAATAATCTAGTTCCTATTGAAATCAAACAGACAGTGCCTTAGAGCTTTAAAATTCTTCCTGCACATCAAAGGATGCGTGCAAGTGTCAAAACACCTCGGAGAATCTGGCTTTTAATGACGCACAGGCTTAAGTTTACTTCATTATAGAAATCACACAGATCTAAACAAACATTTAGGTGACTTTTTCATGTATATTCAATGCATTTCAGGTTGCCTGTATGAATTTTTAATTGTTGTTTGGAAAACGCAGCTCCACTCAAACGAAAGCACGACGCGAATTCCAAGGGATGGAGAGGAAACAAACAAAACTAATCAACTACAGACTGTGATGAAAATAAAGTATCGTTTCTCTTCTGCCATCTAAAACTGGTAACATAAGAAACCAAATACATACACGTATGACAGCTAATGGCTGAAATCTCTATTTTACCAGCAAAAGATATTATTCTGAAGAAAGAAGATTTCTTACAAGTCCATCCTTTGCTTCAGGATGCTCTCCCACACGACTTTGTATAAAGCAAGAGAGCTGAGCAGAACAGACTCAAGTTGCTGGAGTCAGACCCATTTTTTGTTTAGGAAGCTAATCACCCTGCAGAGTGGAGACAGAAGCTGCCTTCAAGAGACAGCGCTCCTAAGTGTGAAACAAGCTATTTTAAAAGATGTATTTTAAGTCACACCTGTGCCTCCTCCGGCACATCTGCATACGCGTGGCAGAGCTTCTGCAGAGTTTCTACAGCTGGGCTAATCACCTCCAAGGGACACTGAGACTGCTGCAGCCAGCACTTGATATTATCTGAAAATGAGACCACACACCTAAAATGAGCATTTTCTAAGCTTATCTACTGCTTACGGAGAAGAAATGACTGTTAGGACGGGAGGCATGAACGGTGCCTTCCCCTCGGTGGTTTCTCAGGGCCACTCACCACTGAGCCTCTCACAGGTGCTCTTAGGGAGGTGTTTTGCGACATGACCGATGACACACAGCATATGTCCTGTAGTATCAGCGCTCGTGTTCTCCTGCCTGAAAAATATCAGAGCAGACAAACGAACATTAACGCTAAGGAACAACACCAAATCGCAGTAGGAAAACCCTTTCATCTGGGATATGCATTATTAAGGCAGACCTGTCAAACCAAATGAAAACGCAAAAGGCTTAAGGCAAGAATTGGGTACTGCACAAACCCGCGGGCCGTCGCTTGCCTCCTGTCTGGAGAATTGAACAAAGAACTGGGATCTAAGCAGCTGAACAGCCTGTGGAAGGACAGAAGGTGCCCATTTGCTTTGTTCCTCTTCACCCCATCTTTTTTTCCTGCAGAATAGAGGATGGAGTTCAAAGCACACATATACCTGCTGACATGGTCCCAGGATTCAATGATCTTGGAATAATCCAGCTTGGGTGAAGAACCTGCCACCTTAGCAAGCAACATCCAAGCCGGTACAGCACGCTCCGTTTCCACATGAGACATGACATTATTAACGAAAGTGGAGGTGAACTTATTCTGTTTGGACCACATGTGAAAAGCTTTGTTCAAGTAACGGCTGCAAAGACGAAAGAAAAGAAAAGTCAGAGGAGGAATAAACGAAACACTTGGTCTTAGGCACTGCCAGTAAATTCCTATATCCTTGCCCAGGATATACTGGGCAATACAACAAAGCTGCTATCGCTTGGCATTCTCACTACTCAGAATACGTAGGGATTTCTGATACGTATTTTACTAGAAATATTGCTTTCAGTTCATAATCCTGCCACGCTACAGACCTGGCACACAAGCATGGGCGTCGTGCTGTGTCAGTAATAGAGAAGGACTGGCTGATACCATGACACATCAAGAAAAGCTAATTTCAACAATCTCTAACACAGACTTTCTAGCAGTTGTCATTTAATTGCCATGATGGGAGAAGATACAGTTATGCTAAGGCACCATAACTTGCTCATTTTTCTATTTAACCCCAGTTACCCACTTGACTCTTGAAAGAGTTCTGAGACTGATCAAAGCGCAAGGTACTGTAAGGTCAGGAAGAAGAAGGTGCCATGAATCTGCAAACTATGTTCTAAAATAGCCCAAATTAGAACATTGACAGTTTCACAGATTGGCAAGGCAGCACAACCACTATCTCATTTTCTATTTCTGAGCTATTATGCCCTGTTGACTAATAAACATACAGCTGTCTTTAATCAATGTTGTGTCCTTGTCATACTGTGTGTCATCCCATTTCTTCCCACAGCGTTCTGCAAAAGGCAGAATAATTCTATTTGTCATAAGACAAGTAACATATTGTACATCAAAATTAATAAAAGGCGATGTTCTCCTTTCTTTATATATCCTCCTTTACTTCTGTCATCAGAACACCTCCATTTGACTTAAATATTCATGCTGCTATCAACACCTCGAGAACAGCATGCGAAACTCCTGTGTGTGATCACCCGGGCTGAGGGAGAGAGCGCGGGTTAACAAGAGCAGCAAGTGAAAATTCTTGACACCAAGTGAAACTGCCCTCGTCCCACCAGACGGCTTGTCCAGGCTCGACAGCTCCTCTGTCCCAGGAACTGGGTGAGCAGCAGAAGCCCCTCACACCATGAGTTTCCAGCTCAAGCACTGATACGCACCCGTACCGACTGTTGCAAGAAGGGAATTCAGCTAGCTCAAAAAAACCCCAACCCATGACAAATTTGGTTTCTTGTCCTTGCAGAATAGTCAGCACGTGCACTTTAACAGTCTGTAAACCGACACCTAATGGTCTGTGGCCACACAGTGAATGAGAGCACGGAGAGTATAAACTCTTATCTTAGTGAAAAAAAAAATCTGGATTTTGTCCCTGATTGCACTTACTTCAGCTCCTGGCTTTCTGAAGTCAAGAGGGTAAGGAGATCCCACGCTAGAGCCTGCTTTTCATCTTCACTCCTGAACTTATTATAATATTTTATATGTTGCAACAAGAGCTGGTCAAGGCAATCCAAGGCCTTTTCTTGGACAGAACTTTCAGTGTCCATCACAGCAGGCACCACTCCGTTCAACCAAGCCTTCTGCACTAGAACATTATCGTGCTGAGACTGAAACACACATTGTATTAGAAACATTTTAAAATCATGAGAGGATCCTATATGCATGGGGAAGTACCGCAGAGGCCTAGAAATCTCCAGATTGAGCTACTAACTTTGAAAAGAAGTTTGAACAAACCCCAGAGCACTGCTCAGCTAGCACTGGAATGTGGCACCATATGGAACAAGGGAACTTGTATCTCCTTGGCACCACGAGGTATTCGATCATATCTATGATGAAGCTACCTGGTGCTTCTGCTAAAGGATCGTAATACTCTGTTTTGAGACCCTATAAATAAATATAAAAATATCGCAATAGAGCTGTACAGCAGATGATTTAACACTAAAAAAAAAGCTTTGCTTAATATAAATCCTATGCTCCAAGATTAAGTTACTAACCTTTTGTGAATAAATAGAAAGAAAAATATTGCAGTGCTATCATTTACACATTACAGTGATTCAGATTTTTTTTTTGTAACTCGAGAAGGCCAGCAACATAAACATTTTCTCCATGACACATAAATCAACAGCCAGAAAAATAAATGTTTCCAACAGTTGGAAGCATTCTACATAAATCACAAGCATGTATAAGGATGAGTCATGATTTCCAAGTCAAAAGGTAATAAAAAAAATTTAAGCACCGTCATAAAATGCAATTCACAGAATGAACAACTGACGTCTACCAGATTTGTCTGTTTCTTCCTTCTTTTAACCCACGGTTCGCTCATCTCAGATCTGAATTCATGACATTTTTCTCTCACCATGAGGAGCTCTGTTACAGACTGCAAGGCCTGCTTCCGCACGGACACAGCCGGGTCCCGGCAACGATCCTGCAGAGTGGACAAATCTTCCACAGTGCAAGGGATCACTTTGTGCTTCAGGATGCTCATAAAAACCTGGAAGTCAAACACCAACATAACTTTCCTGGGAACGCAGGCCATGTGCATCGGGTAGCAAATCAAATACGCAGTCTACCCCCTACCAACTTTAACTAGAGACTAATCCATCTCCCCGAGAGTGAAACATCCCGTTAACAATGTGTGAGTAGTGGGCACAACCAAGACATGTAGAATGAAACAGAATTCGTCTTTTCAGTCATCTCAATTTTATGCCTGCATTTGGACAGAGTGAATGTCGCCGTTTCCCCTTGAAAGTAACGTGTCTCTTGTATGAACCGTGCCTTTTACCTGGTAATAAGGAAGAGGGCATCTGCTGGTTTTTTAAACTCAAAAAGCATTAAACCAAAACAACTGTAAAGTTTTAACTGGGAAGTTTAAATCAGCGTGTGAACTGAGACGGAATAGTGGGGGTGAAGAGGACTAACAGAGGAAGGCAGTCAACAGCAGATGCGTATTTTTTAAAACGATGAAATTTCCATTGAAGCGTATCTCTTTAAAAGCTAAGGACTTCATTAAAAAAAATTGAGCGACAAGCAACACAACACGTAGCTCTAAAAGAGGCTGGATATAACCTAATCTCTTTGTTAACAAGGTCAAAACAAACTAGGCAGCTAATATGCTTCAGTTTATGAGGAAGTTGTTTAATTGAAATGCCTATTGACATTTGGAAAGAGCCTCTCTTTCTAAATGACGGAATAAGAGAATGCCAGCAAGAGTACTAGAAAAATTTTCCATCATCGTGCTTGCCTTATTTACCCAGTAGGCACTCCGCAGGAATAGCAGGAAGCGACAGGTGGGCAAAGTTACAGTACTGAGGCCTGATTATTTATATTAACAGCATTCTGGGAAATCACAGAGCACAGGGAAGCACGCAAAAACCACCGTACCTGGAGAGCAGATTTCCTCACATTGGTTTTCTCATCGCCAGCTCTCAGTCTCAGCATGGCCATGACTTCTTTTCCTATCCAAAACCATGATAAAGAGACATTACCCACACCGTCACCGGGCAGCACTGCCCCACGGAACACTGCGCAGCGGCGAGGAGGAATTTGGCTCTGAACTCAGCTGAACAACAGTCTGTTGCCCGAGTCTTCCAGAGGGCAAGAGAGGAGAATCAAACAAGGCACAGCAAAAAACCCACCCAAAATACTTCAGAATGGGTATAAGCCAAAAGGCAAAAAATACACAGAAAGTATTTTCCCAAGTTCTTTCCTTTGAAAATATATCTTAGGCCATATCACAAAAGAGAGTGAGACACAGTAAAAATAATTAAAAAAAAATAATCTGTAATTTGTGACCTATTAGTTTGTCTACATAAAACACGTTAGGCCACCTTTGCAGTTTGAAATCTCATCGCAGTTCTAACAAAAGTCTGCAGCCCAGGTAACGCTGCCATCTGTGGGCAAAGCGTGTTGCGGGGCTGACCATAGACAAATGATCCAAGGCAGATCGAAGGCAGGATAACAGACATGTATGGCGAGAGCTTGGAATGCCTACAGCCTTCTGGGAGTTACACCTCCGAGCTCCACACAGCATAAAGAATTAACCCAGGAACCGCTGCGCTTCACAGAGGGGAAGCTACTCCATTTCCGAAATGACTGAATTCCTCAAGGCTACAAAGAAGAAGCCAAGAGTCTACAAGGAAATCAGAACACATCTCTCCTCCCTGAATTCTGAACAGCCTGATAGAACAAGCACAGAACCTTTTTACTGCAAGATTTTGCCGTTACAATGGTCCAGCTCTCGTGAAGATGACCATGTCTGCTAAAGTAATTGCACTTTGCCAACTGACATCGCATCTACTCACCGTGACATGGAAAAGAGAAAAAAAACAGAACAAACCACCAATCAAACAAATCCCTGAGTTCTAAAGGGCTGAGAACTACCAAGGGAACTCTGCAGCACGTACCTCCCCCTGCAGATTATCTCCACCCTTCTTATCTTTGCCCTTGTGCATTTAGCACGTTCTGACTATCCTCGGACAAGATTTATTTCTCTTCTAAAATATGAGCTGTTTGGTCTCCACAGAAGTGCAAAATTAGCACAGGCTTAAGCCAAACACAAGCGTGTGCCAGACGGCTTTGCTAATGCACCTTGACTGACTCGGAGAGCCCTGCGTTTCAGCGATCCTCCTGAGCTCCAGACAGTCCTTTTTCATCCAAGCCTTTTCTTAATTTGTTTTGCCAAGCGCCAAGTGTACGCTCAGCTGGGTACGAGATACAAAACCAGGCAGCCTCTGCCACGAGGAGTCTGCAGCTAAGCAGGGAATACACAATACCTCAAGTGGCCCGGAGGACTTTTCTATCCGAGGGAGCAGATTAACGAAATTTATCAGTGAAATGTTTTAAAAGAAAGCTTTCAATGGAGAAGATTGAAGCCTGGCTCACCGAGATAGGGACAGAGATCCCATGTGAAGAGCAGCATGAAACGTGTAACAAAGAAACAAATGCAGGACGTGAAGCACGCGGCGAATTGAATTGTCAGCAGTTCACGAGAGGTGAACAGCAAGAACTGAGAGCAAAGATACCGCAGAGGCCTAAAGGTTAGGAAGAAGAGCTTTTGCGTGGAAAAGAAAGGAAGAGACTCGGAGAAGGAACGCCATGGCCACAAAAGCCAACTTCCACGCTGATTTCATGCTATCAACAAATCAGAACTAGCTGCCTGCCACGGTGCACCAGCCCATTTAACCTCACACTTCGCTCTGAGCTCCAGACGACACCTGATGCTGCCGAGAAGTGAATTCTTCCCTGCGCAACAGTCAAAGGTGCTGTGCTTTACGTAGCAAAAATATATTAGCTCTTTGTGCACTGGAGCAAGAGATTTAATTACCCTTCAATTTATAGAGTTACAAGTATTAAATCCCACATCCATTACCATCCTTTTTGGAAAGAATGAATTACCTGCTTTTCAACAAACGTTGCCACCACATTAGTAGAAACGAACCTTAGTATTTCAAGATTAAATGTATTTTTCAGACTTCAGTGGAAATAGTATTTCTTTATGGATGGTGCTTCCACCCTCTCCATGACCTATAAGTGTTTTTTAACAGCTCTACAGAAATCTCTCTCCACTTTCTTTGAAAAACGGACAATGAACACACTCCAGCAAGTCTGATTTCAATTAAGGTTTTGAAAAGTGATCTGAAAAGGCTAGTGTAATTTGACGTACCGTCAAGAACAGCACTATCTCTGCTCTCTGTCAACTCAATAGTTTTGAAAGTCGGTAAGGTCTTCAGTGGATGGTTGGACACAGCTGAAAGAAAAGGTAAAAATCTAAGAACAAAAGAAGGCATACGTTCACCCAGCAAGATGTTTCACTGTCAAACAGAGAGCCTCATGCATGCCCTAGGTTTTACAGGTAGGCATATTTTCAGAAAACGGCATGCCAAGAAAAGCTTGCGACTTACTAGAAGAGAATGACTCTATACCTTCAGCACTGACTACGGAACTCGCGGTGTTTGTGTTTGCTTCCAAGACTGTATGGTCAGAGGCTGCCAAAAAGAAATAAAAAAAAGAAGTTAAATGAAGTATTTTAATCCCGGATAGTCTGTCATTCCAAATTTTTTCAGCCAAGTAATCTAACAGTAGGATGCTATGTGCATACTTCTGAACGGTGCCATCTGGCCTTCACCACACCTGAGTGAGTTCAGAATGCCACTCATGAACAAAACTGAGCAGAAGCAAAAGGCAACTCAAGATTTAATCAACTGTCAGGCAAGGATCAACTTTTTTTTTTCTTCCCAATGAGCAATTTCAGTCATCTGTAAATATCCTTCAAAGGTATCTCATGGAGGAATCTATTTAGAGCTGATATACGAGAATAAATCCCTTCCAAATTTAAGGCTTCATGAGTAACAAGACTCCTCTATTACTTCTCATTATGACACAAGGACACTGTGTGCAGATTTTTAAGTTCCTGACAACTAATTCTTCTATCTCCCAGTAATTATTCCCCAGAACGTTCAAGAAATACTTTCACTATCTAATTTATCCATAATACTTACAGCTTTGTAACAAGTCCTGTATGCTCTCCAAGGTAGCAGCAGCTTTCATTTCCAGACAGTGGGCAAAACTGCTTAAAGCTTTGCTACGGACCACGGGTGCTTTGTCTGAACACCGGCCAAACACCATGACCTGTACTAGAAACTTGTGTGTTAGAAACTTCTGATGATCGAGGGACAAGGAGCCATCCAAGCTCCTCTTGGGCGCATCCAGCAAAGCCAACGCTACATCAAGAGCAAACACTCTGTAGGCAATCTGTTTGCAAGAAAAAAGCGCACTGTTAAGGTAAATAAAGGTAACTCTGTTAAGGCAGGCAAAGAAAAAGGCATTGCCTACTTTGTTTACCCGTTTTTAGGTATCACTAACAACAACAATGCTATTTAGTACCGGGATTGGACCCTTCGTCTCCAAAATACTGAACCCGGGACCATCAAGGAGATGTACTTACTTTAGTGTTGCGTGAATATTTATACAGCCAAGCGATGAAGTCAGCAAACTGTACACAAGGGAGTTTATTCAGCAAAGTCACCAAGGCCTGTGCAGCGTAGGTGCGATAATCAGCCTTATCTGGGACCTGAAACACAAGGGCAGTTGGACAGTACAATATTCCGATGCTCTGCTCTAGAAGTCAGAATAGCATTTCGGGGCTTACGACAAGTACTTTTTTGTTGTTTTATGAAGTGCTGGAGTCAGCAAGGACTGGGAGAACACACACAGCTTCCTTGGGCATTACTTCAGCACTCACCCCCAGTCACACAGCAAATTCCCCAAGGCAAAGGCGGAGCTTAGATTAAACCCAGAGGCAGTAATTCTTCACGGCAGTTTTCAGATAATTTAGTTATCTACCTCTCATAATCCTCATTTTCCTCTACCAATACAATGGCAAAAGCAACTGCAAATTTTGAAAAGGTCACGAGTAGGGTACAATCGACTGTGAACAATCACCCTCAGTGTTCTCCTAGACTAAGATGCTATTTTTAAGGCCTCTGAAAACTCAGAAAAAGAGCAAACCAAAACACAATCAGGCTGTCAAGGAATTGGCAACTGATGAAAATCTTTTCTTTCCTTACAAAACAACTGTGAAAACGGATTTCCTAACTATGACAGATATTGCAGTGCATCCACACATCAGTCCTTCAGCTCAAGATGCAACAAAGCTCAGCATACCTTGATGCAGATATGTTGCAGTAATATTCGAAGAACGGGGAAAACAACTTCTTTCAGCTCATCTACTACGGAACTGCACAGAAGCGAAACAAACAGATTTAATATAGCTGGTTTTATAACGGAGCAAAAATCAAGTCAAGGACATTGCTTTAGTGACGTGTTTCAAAAGTCAGGAAGATAATGCATTCTGGAATCACAAGCACCTGCTTTCTACACTAACCTGCCTTTGCAGGCAGAAAACATTTCTTCCAATACCTTTTTACAAATAGAAGGGCAATACGAAAAGCTTCTTCATTCTCGATTTATGTTGTCTAGGGAACCTCTGAACAAACCGCGCACTCCAGCAACGTGGATCCCCACACAGGGGAAATAACAAACACAGGCAAAACATATCTTAAAGGAGGAGAAAGCAGAGAACTAAGGAGAAGTGAGCTCCATATTCATCTTTTACTGTCTTTAACTTTGTAGTCAACTACAAAACCTGAAAGACTGACACAACGCAAAATGCAGAGCTAGGTCCCTTGCACTCACTGCCACTTTTGTGTCAGACAGAACCTTCCTTCCCCTATGGCAGTGAGTTCAGTAAATTCCCATTACAGACATTTTAATTAAGCCTCATTTGCACAAACAACTTCAAAGTCAATGCCAGTTTGTCTCAGCCCTTTATCAGCTGAACAGGAAAGTGCCAGAAGAAAGAGCAGACATACCCAGGAAGGGTAGTGCCAGAGCTCTGTACTTCACCTGATGAATTTTAGAGCCTGATTCCTGGCAGTGGTCACAGCCGATGTGATTGGAAGGACGGCAGGTCTGGAACCCGCCCCGCTTTCCAGCATAAGGATGACATTGAGGATTCGCTGGAAGACCCAACGAAGAATCTAGAAAGGAAAGGTTAATCTCAGGTTTATTTCACTAGCAACTGGAGCCCATGGATAAGCTTTCTGACCACATTTATAAAATAATTCGGAACCAAACAAACTCAGATCCAAATAATAGCACCTGTCAAAATAGGACAGCCGCTAATACCCCGGGCTTGCTAGTTCAGAACTGGGTCAGATGGGTTTACAGGGACTCGCAAACACGGCAGCATGGTCACACCCCAAATTCAAACACCCCATCCACAGGAGCAGCCCACAGCTAAGTGGGAGACGACACAGTACGCCTGACAATTTAACGAAATAAAAACTGGGAAGCTGCAGACCCATTTCTGGTAGAACTGGATGTTCCATGATGTCAGACTATTCTCTGAATAAGGCTCAGCCCTGCCTACCATCATCTGCACATAACGCTTCCCCATCATGCTTCTGTGCCGCACATCCCGCTGCCGCAGCAGCTACGAGTGGTGCTGGAGCTCCACCTAGCCGGAAACAAGAAAATTCCGCGCAAACGCAGCAACCTGGAATTCTCTTTAGTAAGATACGGAGATCTAACGCCACTGTAGCTATCCTCTGTTTTCGATTCATTTACCACAAGAGTCACCAGAGCACAGAATTCACTGCACACAAACCGCATCATCGTACGAGTCAAAGGAAATCAGGACTGCAGTGGAAGAAGCATCTTGCTTCTGACCCAGCAAACACACGCACAAGAAGTAACACAAGCGTAAAAAGTAAAAAACATGCAAGCAAAAATGACAGGAAAGAAACAACTACTCCTTGTCAATACTGCAGTGAGGATTTTAAAGATGTTGCCCAACTTTTACCTTATCTACTGTCCCATGTAGAGAGGAGCACAGTAATCGCAGCCCATGATAGGCCAGCTCAGGAATGTATTTGGCTTTGTTGACATTCCTAAGCAAAAAAAAGGCAAAATGATTACAACTACATTGACTGGAAAACACTTAATATTCACTAAATGATGTTTACTGTTAGCTAGCTGGTTCTAATTATCTTTAGTGAAAGAAATCCCTGCTTTCGTTTTTGTATAAACAGGATAATAACACAAGCACTGAGAGCTTTCCTTGCTCCAAGCACCACACAAACATTAAGAATTATTTGCTTACATTGCTGCCGAAAATTCAAACTCATGGACCGCTGGCTCTAAGTTTGTCATTTCGACGAAGATCTGCAAGGAAAGAAAGCCCAGCTTAGCTAATTCACGTGAGGGCAAGATGTGCAGGTCTAATCAGACAGGAGAGTCTAACCAGAGGAGCAGTTTATGAAAGGCAGGGCTGCTGTCCCTCCTGTGGCTGTGGAGTGCTCTGCATCCACCAGACGTTTGTGCTGGGGGCCGTAGGGTTCCTTGAGTTGCATCTTATTACCTGCAGGCAGTTCTGCACACATTGAGGTTTTTCTTTTAGCGAGAATTTAGGCAGAAGTCTTAAGAAGTTTTTCAAAAGAAGGAAGATCGCGTCGCGCACTTGAAGAAGATCGTCCGTTGAAAAGTAAACATTTTCACCATCGTCTTCCTCCGCCTCCTCCTCCTCTTCCAATGTCTCTTCCATCTATATTGGTAGAAAAGAGAAACAGCACCACTATGTCCCACAGCACTGGCCGATCTCCTTTGGAGCTTCACGGAGTTCTCAGGCTCAGTCCTACATGATTTCACATCCAAAACCCTAAATCTTTTCTTTCAGATTAGTTAACGCACTTCACAGTGGGTAAAAAAAAAACCCAGACAGAAAGATAAAAGTCGGACACAAAAACAGAAAGCTCCAACACACTCTATCCTTTGGTTCCATCAGAACTGAAGACAATTATCTGAATTCTAATCTGACGCTTTGAGATTCATTTCAAGTAAATCCAATTGTGTCCATGACTTCTCTCCTTGCTTGTCATGACCCTGCAGTACTGATGTTCTCTCAGGGTTTCTGATGCGTAATCCTCAGTTCCATTTAAAAAAAACCAAAACCACAACACCCCCCCACATATACATGTTAGAATTTGCAGCTTGGTACAGCTAACCACAGCATTTAGCCCTTAGCTTCCCCTCAGTAAGTTGGCAAGGAAACGCAAAAGCTATTTGCAAGCTGGTCACATTGTAGCTTGAAGGTCTCTTGAATAAGCTGATATAAATTAGTTTCTCCCTCTGCTACTGAGCTTTCTAACAATGTGCCATAGACAAATAAGCTGTATTTTTTCTAGTAGTCAGCCAGCCAGGAAACTGCAATTACTGTTGAGTCATCAGATCTTTGAAATTCCTAATAATAGGTAGAGGATCAAGAGCACAGCTGAACTGTTGAATAAAAGGATAAGAATTAAAAAAGGGGTGAAAAAGAAGAAAAGTATCAGATTGACCTAGAAGTGAAATAGCTTGACAACAATCTGCTTATCAATAGAGATTTATATTCAAGGAGGTTACACACGCGCCTTACATTGCTATTCCTGCATGATTTTCCTTTCCTTTTATTTCTTCTTGCATTGGTCTGAGAGCTTTGGGTGTGCATCTTCTTCCTTTTCCTCATCAGATCTGGTTCTTGAGGCCAACTTTTTGTCAGGGTCTGAAGACATTTATCGAACATCACTTGATGGAACAGCTGGTTAGCGACGCTACCTGCTCGGAAGAGACAACATCAAATCATCTGGTCACCTCTCCATTTGCTTTGGCAGCCAAGGAGATGGCCAGGACAGAGCCTAAGAAAGTGCAGGAGAAGAAAAGAAAGGATCATTTGAACAAAAGCAAACTGCATCAGGATGACATGTCATCAGCAGTGATTCTCCGGTAGGACCATCAGCTGACTGACCCCTTCTAGCTGGTACTGCAGCGCACAACAAAGAGCAGCATAACTTCAGAGTACGCGCTAGCCTTGAATACAAAAGGGAATTAACCGGCTAGAAAACTCCAACTGCTGGTTGTTTTAAACAAATACTTCTGTTTTCACAAATGAACCTGTCTGAAAACACTACACAGCAAAATCCTCTCTAGCTACAGAGCTGGAATAGAAATAAGCTGCTGCCTTCACCCTGCACTATTGTCAAACCAGAGTGGTTCCAGGGCAGACTCTGCTGTCACCCTTGTCACAGAACTGCAGAGAGAAGGGATGGCAACACGGACCACGCTGAGGCCATGGAGACACCTCATGACAGGAGACCAAGCTGCTATCGGACCGTAACAGCCGTTCAGCACTCACCACCATGGCTGAGCTTGATCCCCAGGGATTTCAGGGAGATCAAGTGAACAGTTCAAAACCTCATCGTTGTTCCACCAGGGATTCTTAGGAAGGAAAGCTGGTTTTGTCCGAACAACAGTTCATCTGACAACAGAGGTGCATCCCTTTGCTCACCTGGGATTTCCAGCAGCAGGAAGTACAACCCGGCTGCATGAAGAGCACAAACCCTCTGCCGCGCGTTAGCTCGCTTTCGCTGGCCGGCGTGGACGAAGTGGTGCAGCACGGCCACGAGCGCGTGAGGAGAGAAGTTGTTCTCGGCAAACAGGGCCCAGATATTCTGAGGCAAAACATGGGAGCAACAATGAGAAGTCGCATAATAACAACGTGGCTCTCTCCAAGTAGCTACCGGTCACGTTTTAACACTCACCACTGCCGCCAGTTTATTACAGTATAGATTTAAAGTAGGCTTTAATAATTGTTATGCTGTACTGTATAAACATGTAGTATGTAGAAGGTTTATATTACATATTACTGTACTTGTATTATGTATTGTTTGAACTTGGGAACAGCTTCTCTCCGAAGCTTTCCCTGACGAGAATCGCTTTGGGCAATCTCGGGGTATTTTGGGAATTTCAAGGCGGGGCAGACTGGACCAGCGGAAAGGCCCCGGGCCCGGGTTCTGGTCCAGGAGGCCGCTGCCCTCACCTCCCTGTCCTCCCGCTCCTCCGCGGCGAACGGTGACAGCGACCGGTAGAGCCCGGTGAAGGCCTCGAGCCCCTCTCCCGCGATCTCCTCCGCGATGCCGGGGTCCAGCGGTTCC